TGCACACCAATAGCCGTATGTTTATGCAGCATATATGCACCAGAAAGCTTTCACTTTCAAAACACAACTGGAGAATTTGGATCCAATGTAAAATCATGGAGGAAATAATGACTTCCATAATTTGTGTGTCATGCAGGTGAAATGAGTGGGTGCAACGTTAGTCAGGGAAGGGTGTGTGTGTGTGTGTGTGTGTGTGTGTGTGTGTGTGTGTGTGTGTGTGTGTGTGTGTGTGTGTGTGTGTGTGTGTGTGTGTGTGTGTGTGTGTGTGGTGTGTGTGTGTGTGTGAGTGAGAGTGTGTGAGAGTGTGTGAGAGTGTGTGAGAGTGTGTGAGAGTGTGTGTGAGAGAGAGATGCATGTGAGTTTTTACATCCTCTGCATGCCTTTGCGGTATGTGTGAGTGCATATGTTTGTACATGTGTGCGAGTGAGGTGAGTCAGAGGAAGGTGTGTGTGATGTCAAGCCCAGACAGGCTCTGCTGTGGTCCAAGTTCAGGTTGCTGTCAGGTGGTAGTGGTTAGTTAACAGAGCTGGTAATTACCTCAGACTGCTGGGCTGAGACACTGGCCAGACCCTCAGGATACTGTGGGAAAGTACATTTAGTAGGTCACCGCAGTATTTCCCTCACGGTCCTGCTGCAGCAGAAAACTGACCCCTGCTCAAGGTGTTAAGATACAGCATATACAGCAAGAATTCATTTTGACAGGGCTCTACCAAACTACAAACATTGCATATGAGGTACAATAATAATAATATAATAAGACGGCTATAAAAGAGTTTTTATCTGGCTATAGAGATGCCTAGTCCTTTTTTTTTTTTTTTTTTTAAACCAGTGTTAATCATATTGTACTCCCCATCTGTTGACTGAATGACTTAATATGTGTTTTTTGCTAAAACAAATCTCTATTTTAAAACTGGAACCCGTAACCTAATAATTGTATTTTCCAGTGCTTTTTTGTGGAGTCCTTTCTGTGTCCACTACATTATACATACAATATCATTTTTAGGTAGTCTGTCTAGTTTGTAGGTGTCTGACAGCCCATCTGAATAAACTAAATAATTTACCCATGTACCATCATCTTACCATTTAGTTTTCTACATGGGGAGAGTGGTAGCAATTACCTTAATTAAATTACATTACAAAGTCTTCTACCAACTCTGAGGTACAGCATAGTAAAAATGATTGATTTTCAGCTCTAGCAGAGTGAAGGGACTCTGGCAAAGAGAGAGGAAGGATTTATAATTCATTTCTATCTTTCAGAAACGGTTTTCTTAGTAAAGAGAAATGACGATTCAGTTAAAATTTCGTGACCCGCTCTCACCTCCACCATTTCCGACTGACGACTGGCATGCAGGCTTTATTTTCCACGCAAAGATAACAACTTGATTTAATGATTAACAGTGAGATGATGTCAGCTTTTTTTCAGTGGGAGAGAAACTAAAAGAAGTAAGATGTTCCCAGTCCTTTCTCCCCTCCATTAAAAAATTCACTTTTTGCATTGAGTTTGCATCCGTCAGTGAAAATCATGGATGAGATTGTCTATCGCTGTTGGAAGGCGTTCAGATTTACCTAGAATGACCTACGGGCTGTGTGGGAAAGCAGAGAAAAAAGTCAGCGCTTGCACCCTGTTAGCCTCTCTTTACTCATCATTTGGTAGCATGAGGCTGCTTTTTCCAGTTCAGCATGCCATCCCACTTACAATGGAACTACATCATTTCACAGTGGTAACAAAAATTTATATCTCCCCAACAGAATGACAGGGAATCAAAGATGGCAGAACGTCCCGTTTATATGGGATGATGGGAGCAAACAATCAATCTCTGGTGTTGTATGTTTTATTTTTCTCTCCTTGGAAGGGATACTGTAGCTTCTAGAAAAAATCTGTTATTTTCTTATATACTGTGTATATGTTTTAGACCACAGAAACCTTGGACAGTGGAATTAAGTATTTTTAACCTTAACTCGGACTTGATATTCACATTGAGACATTTTCAAAGGGAAAAGATGATGCAGTTGTTGCTTCCCTCTTGCTCTTCTTCTCTCCAGTTCCCACGCTGCCCCTTACCTGACTTACCACAATTTGAATCAAATCACCAGTGCCCAATTGGTTGCTCTAACCATGTGATCTGCATCGGCCCTTAAAGCACCGCCTTTTGAGATTGGTCTAGGATTTTCCCATGGGAGCTGCCTACAGAGCCAATGCACTGTGAGCGTGCGTGTGTGTGTGTGTGTGTGTGTGTGTGTGTGTGTGTGTGTGTGTGGGCGTGTGCGTGTGTGTGTGTGTGTGTGTGTGTGTGTGTGTGTGTGTGTGTGCGTGCGTGCGTGTGTGTGTGTGTGTGTGTGTGTGTGTTTGAGAACGTTAGGGAAAAATCTCCCACCCCCCTCCTCCCTCTCTTTCCTACCTCCTCTCTACTATCCCCCTTTCTCTCCTCTTTTTTCCACCACCTCCCATCCTTTGAAACACAGTATCACACTTTAGATAGCCTTTGTTGTCACGGCAAGGAGCATTCTTTCTCTGGCACGGCCACACGGAGTGTGAGAATGCAGGAGGTTCCCTGAAAAACACAGAAAGAACAAAGGACAGGCAGAGTAAGAAAATACAGCAATGTAGCAACTGCCTAAAACGTATGTAGGGTTAAATAGGAATAAAAAATAATGTGTTATTTGTTTGCTGATTTAATCTTTGGTGGCATTTTGATCTTAAGACTCTTCTGTGGTCTTACATTACAAGAAGAAATTTGGTGAAAACTCCACATTAAAGCTATTATTGAAATATAATTTGTAATGTTTGCAAATATGGAGAAGCTTATGAGTTACAGTTAGAGGGGACATGCACACACGTTAAACATACAATCAATAACATGGCAGTGTGGACCGATTGCAGGCATCATTTCTATAAAAACTTCAAAAAGTCCAGCTGATCAACCTGCACAGATTGCGGTGACTGAAGCCATGTGCTGTGTTTCTTGATTATCACAAACATGATATTTTGCCTGTGGAAATGTTCCACAATTGAATTGGTTTGACAGCACTTTCACTCTAATGCTTTCCAAGTTGCTAGATGTGCGGGACCTGCAGAGAAGGCACCTGTATGCCTTTGTGCTTCGCATGCACTCCGTGACAACTGCATGTCTGAAAACTCTGGTACTTAAGTGGTGATGTGGAAAAATCAAGTCTTCATGTCCTGCAGTCAGCCAAAAACAGAGAAAATGTCACCAAAATCATCCGATCCAACCCAGTTTCCAGTCTTAAATGAAGGCACAGAGCTACCATCTGTGTTCATTTAAATATAATTTCTTACCACTTTGACCAAGCTCATTTTGTCACGTCCATTTCCATGCAAACCATTAATGCACTTAAAGCAAATCTGTTTTATATCTAAATTTGTTAATATCATTATGATCTGTGTTACATCACTGAGACATTTTTCGTACTGTAATTTCTAAATTTTTCACCATTTCACTTTCTTTATTTGTCTAATAGATCTCTGCTGGATCTTTGCATTTGTAACTCACTGTGTTTTGATTAATTACAGATTGAATTATTTCCATCCAGGTTGCGTGTGTGTGAGGCGATGTGCGTGTGTGCCTGCCCGTCCGTGGCTTAGCCTTGAGAGTTCAGAGCAGGTTCTGGCTTGCTCAACTCTGGGAAACTTTGAGCTGAGCAAATAGCTGGGTCTGTTTTCCTGGCTGCCGCCACGCTCGTATGTGTGAGCCATGTGTATGCGCTGTGAGCATTTGTATGCATATGGTTTATGCGCACTGTAGTGTAACTTGTGTAAATTGTAATGTGTTTTGTCTATGTGGTGTATGCATGTTAGCCTGTTAGTGTGTCTGTGTGTGTGTGTGTGTTTGTGTGTGTGTGTGTGTGTGTGTGTGTGTGTTTAAGGTAGAATACAAAATGTACTGAGGTAGAGATGAGCTTTATTCCCACAGACAAGACAGGAGATGACACCTCTGCTATTCCCACACCTCCACTGTCTAGCCGCTTTCTCCTATTCTGACCTCAGTTACCACAGAGGCAAACACCGCTCTGCATGTGCACACAGAAGAGAGGACATAATTTTGCATTGGCTGGGTGCATGCTACTGATTTGCAGTCTTCATCAAACTTTTCCCAAGTAAAGAGAGACAAACTGGCTTTAAGTGAGCTTGAAGCTTTTGTGAGGTCCGCGAGCCTTGGTTTGATTTACAGCCCACCTCTAAGTGGAATGCTGTTTGCTGGGTGGAGCTCAGGTGTGTTGACAAGGCTTTTAGCACTGACATGCTGTCAAGATGGCTTACAGACGAGTATGTGTGTGCATGTTGGGGGCCGGTAAACACGAGGTCACTAATGTCCCCACCAGGGAGACCTTTACTGTGGAGAAGGATAGCATGGCATGGACATGTGAACGTTACTGAGGCGTAAACGCTGTCTCTACACACACAAACTCATACAGTGATCTGCTCTTTCTGTAACACTTAGGCTCTTTAACACCAAAGCAACAACCGGGGGAAAAATGTCTGTTTGCCAGCGGTGTGAATGGGTCAACACAAGTTACTAGGCTCTGCGATCCTGCTTTAGACCAGGTCTTAACACAAGTCTGACACTTTTTGTCTTGAACAGGTGAACTTTGGTCACTATAGTTACCAGAAGCGTCATAAGAGTAATGTAGTTTAGAAAATAAAAGATTATAAAAACATTATAAAAAAGTTTGGTTTTAACACCTTAACTCTATTTCTTAAATTGTCTTGGCAATGGAAATAGTTCTTGGTCATGATAGAATTATACAACATGGTACAACTTTAAATGAATGTGTTTGTTTTTTCCTTGCAAGATGTAAATCTGCACATGTACCAGTAATTAGTTACAAACCATGTGACTACATTATGAGGAAAACTCTTGAAGACCAACTTGAAAAAAAAAATACAGTTTTTCCTTCTCAAGACATTTTTCAACATTCATTTTCATTTCGACATTTCTTTTAACCCTGCTGCTGATGACTATTTTCATGTGTTTGTCCAGGCGTGTAACAGTGATCAGTATGTGGCGGTGCCCAGAGAGGACATGGTCAGGATGCTCAAACAGAAAGGTCAGTCTAACACCTCTGCCTACATGGAAACTCACTCTGTAAGATGGGAGAGGGTTTATTGTTACTGGACTCCTTATGGTGCTGAATAGAATACAGGAGGATGTATTTTCATGCCATTACTCCAGCTGCTAATGTGTCTGCAGCGCTTTTGCTCAGGTAGTTTTGACTTTGCTATGGCTAATCTCACATCCTTTTTACTTTTTAACAAGTCATACAATTGTTGTGTTTTGCCTGTAGGATTTCTGCAGGACCAGGACAACAGTGACCACACACAACAGAGGTCCCATCAACAGGAAGAGGAGAAGCTTGGTGACATCTTGACCTCCAGCGTGACCCCTGAACTCCCCAGGTATGCCCTTCAGTGTCGCTGGGCCTCCCTTTCAGGGCTGGACCCTGACACCCTGACCTTTCCCGGGGGTGCGCCCATACAGCTCCACACCGTGCCCCCTACCCTCCTGCCGAGGATACCGCTCTTCTATGTCTGTACCAGATGTGGCAAGGTGTTCTGGGAAGGCTCTCACTTTGGCCGTGTCCTCTCCATGTTTCAGGAGGTCTTACACATAACAGACGAGGACAGTGAATCAGCTGCAGCACTCGTTAAAGCAGGGCAGCAGAACTGACTGATGTAAAGCTCTTGCAGTTTACCAAACCAAAAAACATCCAGACTAATGTTGCGCACATGTAGCACCCAGCTGTCATGAAATCCAAGTAAACTGCTGCATACATAACAGCAGTTCTATTTTTTACTTTTCTAATTGACTTGATAAAACGATAAGGCGCAAAGATTGTAAATTTAGGCTGACATTACTAGTGAGTTTCAACAGCAACTTCAAGTGATACAAAATTTGTATCACTTGAAATAACAAATAATTTGATAAAAAATAGGTGAGTTAATAAATCAACTTACTGCCCTTGGTAGTCAGACCTCCTGTTACCCAGCAGATATTAAAACTTGACAGTCATATTAAAAAAACAAAGCTGCGGTGAATATGGATGAACGATTCTGTCATCCCAAACTTCATTTCCAATGTATCTATTTTCAACGGTTTTAAATCTATTGTGTTTTAAAGAGTTAAAAACTCATTTTAATTTCAATGAACCAAAGACAAGTCATGCTCACATCTTGACTTTGTAATTTTTGTTGTTGTTTATGTTCATTGTTAAACCCTGGCACATTTATGGTGATTTGTGGTTTGTATTGAGATAATTTGAGTTGTAATGTGTTAATTCCTCAAAAACACTTTAACTCTTTAGGGAATTTTATCTCCAAACTATAAATCACACTAAGTATGTACAGTATCTGCATTGGTCTTAAGTTTGTTCATTCAGCAGCTTCTATTATATTCTATTTGATGAAAACTTTTTTTAATTGTTTTGACCTAAAAGCTACGGTTAAATGATGACAGGACTCAGTTCTTGTACTTTTTTAGCAGTCTGTTATACTGTATACTTCCATTCTCTGTGATTACATGTATATAATTTTTAATTATTTAGGCAAAAGCTGAATATGTGTTAATAAACAGAGTTTTCATTTCATTTATTAATCCGTGAAAAGTCATAATCCTTTCCAGGTGTTTTTATCTTTTGATATGGTTCAAAATTCGCAGAGCATTGGTAGAGGACTAAGAGCGGACAGATTGATGAGATCATTTAAGCTTCACTGATGTCTGTCAGGTGTAACACTAACAGTGTGGGGGTTTCCTGCCCCGAGGCTCCAGAGCAGACGGGTCACAGAGTAACCCAACACATAAACCGCCTGAATCCCTTCATATTTTCTCATACCTTCCTTTCTAACTCTCCTCCCCTCTGCTAACAAATCCCACATTAGATTTGTGTGATTGCAGAAAATTGGATTGCCCAAAAGGGTTTTAAGACGTCGTGTGTGGAAAATTCGACAATTAAAGATTTTCTGGTGTTTTCTGTACAGAGTATGCATTTCGTTGAAACTACAGTGCTGAGTTTGAATCTTTTTACGCTCATAAAAGATAAGAAGCCTTCACCAAAGCCAGATGTGCACTTTATTTTATTGATCACTTAACTTGCATCAAAAAAGCCACAGTTGCTCCCAAAGACAGGTCATACTGTGAATCACTGAGGTACATGTGTTTATTCAGTGAATCACAATGGCTGCAGTAGGAAGTCAGAGGTTTGAAGCTCAGGATGATTCACTGACACTAGACAATGGAAACATTTCCTCTCAACTAATTTTGATGCTTTTTTTTAATAACCTTGTATAACATTTAGTGAGTTACCACATTGAGGCTACAGATGTAAAATGTTTAGTCAACATTACCAGCTGCACAACCTTAAAGACATTGGAAGAAGTAGGTATAGTGCTTTTATTTGAAGCAAGTAATGTTATACCGCCCGTAATGCAGTTATGTGTGAGGACAAGTATTGTCACTTCTGAAGAATAATGTGACAAAAGTGGGCGTCTGTGGCTGTGAATGTGAAGTTCACTGTTCATTGTTGTGAGTGCTGGGTGAGCTGTTGTACTCAGCATGTGAACCTGCTGCTCCTATGCCCTAGGTAAATCTAACAGTGATAGGCTGTCAGTCCAACAAGAAACTGTCTTGGACAAAGAAGATCATGTGGATTATCTCTGTCTCAGACATGACTTACATGTTCTCAAGGAGAGCATACTGTGATGATAATGACTTTCTAGTAATGCCACATTCTAATAATACACTCCTCCCATAAAGGTTTTATATGTTGTAACTGTAAACTATTTACTAATGCTTTCTAGAGAACTCATATTCTTTTAATAAGAATGCCACTTTGGTTGCCATATTAGAGGGGTTGTTCCTATCCTGGCTATCAGACTGGATTTTTTTCTACCTGTTTACATTTGAATCACTGTAAAACAGCAGATACAGGTGTAGAACCACAGTCATCCATGGTCCTCCTCATGTATTTAATAGCTAAGAAGAAGACAAAGTTAGAGTCATGCTGGGGGAGGAAAAACAGAACTTCAAGGCATTTTTCGCAACAGACACCCCACAATATTTTTTATTAATGGCTCATAATTTAAACGTCATTAGTATCACTGCATCCACAAAATGAGCGTTGAAGAAGACTCCTGAGTTTTTAGTTTCTGTCTGTCTCTAATGATGTCGTTGTATATACCATGACCCTTTTTTGCTCAATCATACATCCAGGAGTCCAAAGAAATCTTGGCATGTTTCCATGCGGTTTTTTTTAAAGCAGACTCTATAATAACGACAGTAACATTAAGCTGCCCTCAAGTATTTTTATTGCTATGAATGAAGTCGACACCCAAGCTCCCAAATAAGCCCCTCTCTGTGTGCCCTGTCCCGTCCTTGTCCGGGTGGTCGCAGCCCCTGCCTCTGTGCAGAGCGCGAGCTTTCTGCCGCAGCACCGTGTTATTTGATCCTTGCTCTTTCTTTGCTGGGAAGAAAAGCTCGCCTCTTTCCCACGCTCTGAGGACACGTGGTGCCCGGAATGAATTGGATTCAGAAGCCCCTCCCTCCCGGTAAAACGTCACACCTCTCTCTCTCTTTCTCTCTCTCTCTCTCTCTCTATCTCTCTCTCTCTCGCGCTCTCGCTCTCGTTCTCGCATACACACTGAGTTTTACTTCAACGTGCTCTCTGGCATGAGTGCTAAAGAACAATGTTGCTAAAGCGTCATGATGAAAAATAGACATTTTTGCACGACACTTGCACATTTATCTCCCCCTCTGTGTGACTTTTCCTTTCTGGACTCTCCTCTCCTCTACAGTAACACCTGGTGAGCGACGGGACGCGACGGACGCGACGGGACGGGAGACTCCTCCTTGTCTTGTCTGGCCCTGGCTGTCCCGGGTCTCGGCGCCAAAACTCGGCCCTGTGCAGTGCGCACCGAGCTGACTCGACCTGTCCAGCGCTCCGTTTACAACGCAGCAACACAACACTGCACACACGACTGTGTTCTTTCTCTGACGCTGGAAAGTAGACACGTCTTGTTTATCATCACACTGCAATAGAACAGAGATATGGCTGCACAAACAGAACCAGAATAGACTTGTATTATCTCTGTGTGACCACTTTCCATTTGGAGTTTTGGGAGGGTTGTTGTAGCCTCTGTGCCCGGGTCACCCTTCAGCCCAAAATGACAACAGATTTAAACAGTATCGATAATTGCAAGTTATGAACGTGATTGGCGTGCGCATTTACGCACGCAGGGAATGCGTTTTTTAGTCGTTTTAAATTGAATTTAGCCTTTTCTGTTTCTGTCAGATATTTCATTACACAAGTGGTGAGATAATAGTTGGACCTGTGTATCAAAATATATAAAAGACAAATTCAGAGATCAAACGATCAAAGCATTTTACCTCTGCTTGAACAAGTATACCTAACAGTCTCAAGGATTGTATCTGGTCTTGGCTGCCTCCCAGACAAACATTACCGAGAAAGACTCAAGAGCAAAGTGGGGTGGGGGGGGGTGGGGGGGCAGAGAGAAGAGCGCAAATGCCACAGAGTTTGGGGGAGAAACTCATCCAATCGTAGAAACTTTTGGCTCCTGCGGTCTGTGCAAATGTTTTCCAAGTGTCCAGACGCACTGCAGCCAAAGCTCTGATAGCGGACAGATGTTCCTAATTTTCCAGAAGATGTTCTGCGCCATTCAGTAACCCAAAGAAAAAACATGTAGCCTCTCTCTCTCTCTCTCTCTCTCTCTCTCTCTCTCTCTCATATATACATATTTATCGTGTATATATATATACGTATATATATATATATATATTATATATATTATAATATATATTATATATGGGGTGGGGGGGCAGAGAGAAGAGCGCAAATGCCACATATATATATAATATATACACGTATGTATATAACACGATAAAACGTATACTGTTCCTAAAACTACTATTCAAATCTGAAAGTAACCATAACCCATAACGTGTACATTTATATGCTGTGAGAATTTTGAACTATAAACTCCAGGAGGCACGCTGTGTTATATGAAAACCATAGAGGAACACACATCACACATCTGTTGCTGTGGCCTGTGTAAGAAGTTCTGCGTTGGTTATTCACCACATTTCTATGAGTGACTCAGAGTTAGTCTTTGTTTTCGAGCATTTGCAGCTGTGGGCCACTTGTTGCAGAGGAACAAACAAAAAATAGGCAGCAAGCAGACTCACAGTCACCTGCAGATGCACCTATACAATTATCCAAAACAGATGAATCACAGTCCCAGTCACCACCGCAAACATATTCTCCATCCTTTTTATTCTCACTGGAGCAGGTCCTGAAGTCAAAGATCTGAATCTCAACAAATCTGTGACAAACGTGTAAGATTACATAGTGGGCAAAAGAAACCCTCGTTTCTGATTGGCTGGGACGTGTCAGGTTAAATTGCATAGTAGGCTATACTGGGATCCCTTTAACCATAACTGGGGGAACGGGGAAACCACGGTTCTAAATGCATCTGCATGGTAAAGTTGCAGATAACCATAGCAACAATACAGGTGCACATTACCACTTCACTCACTGCTGAAACTCCCCTTACTATAAGTTAAAGTCGGTTTCCTTTGGCTGTATATCCCAAAATCGCACAAAATCCTATCTATCTATCTATCTATCTATCTATCTATCTATCTATCTATCTATCTATCTATCTATCTATCTATCTATCTATCTATCTATCTATCTATCAGAAATACAAAATAATGGGCCCAAACGATCCAGTTTGATTTACATGATCGCTTAAACCTTTAAAAAAAATCACTGATCGATTTGATTAGTAAGTGAGTGATGTTAATAACAAAAAAATAAGGGAAGAGTAGGACACATTGTAGTCTATATTATATCATTTTTAAAGTTTGGTTGTAGTTGTTTAAGTTCCTGTTTCTGGTAGAACAACTGGACCCATAAATACGTTTGCTGTGGTTGCCTGTATAGCTCAACAAACCAACTTGTGTGTTGACATAGAAACGTGGTAAACTGTTTACTTTCAGGTGCCCCAGTCTGATAATGCACTCTCAACCTAGAGAAGAATAATGGGAACTAACTTTATCTAATATATCGCTGCAATCATGTTTTCAGTCATATTTTCGGGTTTTTTTGTTTTTTAGGTTAGGTGAAATAAAGTAGGTTGTGACCTTAATGTGTGGGTTCTCTGTGTTGTCTCCCCCACACCGACGAGCAGGCCCGGCGCACAGGAACACACTCGTACAGGCAGTTGCAGCCACAGACGTGCGCCAAATGTACAGTTCAGAGTGTGGGAAAAAGAGGACAGTGTGAAACCCGCCAAACCATCAGAGCGGAGAGCGGTTTATAAAGTGTTACACAGATGAGATGGAGAATGCAGCAGCCAAACGAAGCAAACGGCGCGAGGGAAGCCGATATGTACATGTGTGGTTTCCACATATTTCTCTCTATTTCCCTCCATCTCTCTGTCGCTTTCATATGAGTTCTTTCCGTCGAACGGTGTTTCTATCTATCTGTATCTATCAGCACCTTTCCCTCTCTCTCTCTCTCTCTCTCTCTCTCTCTCTCTCTCTCTCTCTCTCTCTCTCTCTCTCTCTCTCTCTCTCTCTCTCTCTCTCTCTCTCTCTCACACACACACACACACACACTCAGGAGCCCAGTTCCCACGGTGGCGGGCGCAGCTGAGCGGCGTGTCAATCTGCGCACAGCGTCATCTCTTTTCACTTGCAAAAAGGAAGTAGCGCAGGGCTTTTGTTATGTGAAGTCCCACCGTCTCGTCATTTAAAAACAACTGGAATATATCCGCAGTTTATGATTTAAACAGCCACCTATAAGCGCCTCCTCAGAGCGCTACAAATGACTTGAGAGACTCCCGGTCCGTTTGGTTCAGCAGAGACTTTTGACTGTCTGAGGTTATAGATATTTACTTATGAAAAGATGCGCTCACACCTGAGACAGCCACTGCTCAAACTACACAGAGAATTAAACTTTAAATCTGGGACTGATCCATACATTTTTATTTTATTTCACATTTGTGCACAAATTAACTGAGGTCTGAGATGTTCACTGGTAGTCAGTCAGTCAGTCAGTCAGTCTCTCATTCGTGTCAGGGTCACACTGCACAGAGGGCTGGGTATCATAAAGCTCAAGCAGCAGCATGTACTGTAGCTTTTCATCTTTAGCCAATGTAACAGTAAAGTGTGTTAATGTATCCAGATGTTTTTTATTGCTTAAAAAGACACTTTACTTTAAACAATAATAATTTAGACAAATATAATGTGTAGTCCACCCGCCTGTTATTGTTTTCCCTGATCTTTTACCTGTTGTGTGAGTCAAAATAAAAGTGTATTGTCATATTTTATAGATTGCGTAAAAAATCATGTCAAAGATCATGTTTTCAGAAAGTTTCCATTTGGTTTATTTTACAGGAGCCCATTCGCTTTGCATGAGTAAAATCCTCGCTGATGCTATAGTGACCATTTACATCCCTGTCAATGAGACATGACTGACTTTTTGTTTCAAGTTCCTGTCGATGATAATCCAGTGGATGATCCTTTACAACGTGTCCGTTTTCTCAGCGGTTTCCAGCTCTGACAGCACCATGCCTCTGGCTTTGAGTCCACTTCCTGGGGTCGGCTACAGGAGATCGGATATAGGCCTATACAGCTCACCATAATATTGCTGCGGGCGGCTTGTTTAATATTTCTACAGCAACATTTGGCTCCCCCCTCAGAAGGCCACGCCCCCTCCCTGCAGATTCACAGCGCCCTGGTCCCTCCCACTCACCGAGCCGGCAGCCTATAACCTCTCCGGGTTTCCGCCCATTCCTCCACAGTTGATTCTTTGGGAAGGTATTGTCATGCATATAAAGGACGCGTAAAATATTCCCCCGGAGCGCAGCGCAGGGCAGAGACTCGCGGACCGCGCGGAGGACACAGACCGGGCCACACGGTGGATTTCTATCGTTTTCGTCGCTACGGACCCGTCCATCTGTCACAGGTAAGTCACACATCTGCAGCGGATTACATTCCCAGATATGTTTAATGGCAAAAATCAAGCAGTGTATGCGTGCGTAAACGTGTGCGCACGGAGATCTCCTCGCTCACTCCTGGATGTGGCGGAATGTAGGGTCTCTCGCAGTCTGTAGATGTGGAATCGGGATTCATGCTGACTTTTCTTGTGTTTTTTTTATTTTTATTTTTTATCTTTCCCAGACACCCTGGCCACATGAGCAGCGACATATAGCCTGGATGCGTAGCCAGGAACCAGGTCGGACCGTTTAAGGAAAAAACCTGCGGGGACCCAGCAACGAGGAGGCTGCTCTGTGGAGATAGTGGTCAGACTTCCAATTTCCCCAAGTGAAGTCGGAGGCGTCTCTCTTCTCCATCCCTTGCGATAGGCTACCTGCTGCTGCTACAGAGGGGAAACTACATCTAGGGGCCCCTGGATCGCATGAGAGCACCCTTCAATGTTTTAGGGATTTTAGGATCTCTCAAATATTAACATTTTTTGCACACCGAGTGTGTTATTTCCTCTCTTGTCCTTTTTGGGATATACACAGTGATCTTTTTTTCTCTTTTAGTACTTTAAAGTGCCTTAATAGCTGGTTATAATCCAGTGTAACTGTGGCATTGTTACCAGACCAGAGACGCTCAGCAGGGAGAAGACATTATTATCAGCTTTAGAGCCCAGGCAGGATTACTGGTTCCCCACCATCCAGCGAGCTGCAACCATGAGCCAGGCGGATGTGTCGACTTGCTCCGCGCCGCAGAGGGTTTTCCAGGAGGCGGTGAAGAAGGGCAACACCAAGGAGCTTCACTCGTTGCTGCAGAACATGACAAACTGCGAGTTCAACGTCAACTCCTTCGGGCCAGAAGGGCAGACAGCCCTCCACCAGTCCGTTATTGACGGGAACCTGGAGCTGGTAAAACTGCTGGTGAAGTTTGGTGCAGATATCCGGCTGGCCAACAGGGAAGGGTGGAGCGCTTTACACATCGCCGCCTTCGGGGGCCACCAAGACATTGTGCTATACCTCATCACCAAGGCCAAGTACTCCTCTGGCGCCCGGTGATCTGTCTCTGCTGTCAGGTAAAATAAGAAAAGTAACAAATAACAAAACAACAGCAACAAGTGGAAAATAAAACTGCAACACACGGGAAAGCCAGGCTCTTTTTAAAAAGCAAAACAAACTGCCATTATCTACATAGTTGTGCCAAATTATATAAAAAGGAAATACAAAATAGGCCTGCACAGTAATCTTCCCTCACTGTAAACCAAACGGGGCCCTCTCTGCACTCCCGAGTGAAGCCACCGCATGGTTCATACACAGCGCTTCAGCTTCAACACGACTCTTTAACAAAAGAAACGCCATTTCGGTGAGTTTGTTGGTACTAAAGCTTTCCTCTTGAATGTGTATACTAGATCGTGTCGTCCATTATAAAAGAAGCCAGTCTCTGTGTATCACATGTGTGTGTGTATGTGTGTGTTTGGACTCCAGAGTGCAGATGGCCCAGTTTTTTTTCCTCTATCCATGACCTCCCATCCTCAGTACAGTTGAATAGTTTCTTTGTGGGGGGGGTGGGGGTGGGGGGTGGGGGGCACAGATTTGACCTGTTGCTCCTCATTGTTCACTTGTAAAACCCTTTTTAAGTTATTTTATATGAAAACACGGCACTTGATGCTATATGGCTGCATGCTGGAATATCTGAAAGGGAAGACACATGAACAAGAGAAGAAGGGTTGCCCTCTGTTGGCTACCGGTGGTCTATTTTCTTTAATAGCTAAATTCATTGATTTTTTTTTTTTAACTCAAAGAGCGGCATTATGGCTATCCAACACGCTTTTCAGATGTGTAATCATTATGTAACAACAACTGACTTCATCGTTGTTGTGAAGTACTGTACACAATAGCTTTACTTTATTTCTGTGTTTTTTTTTCAAGAGTAAAGAGACAGTAGCTGAATGCGCTGTGCCTGCTGCAGCAGATCTTGCCATGCTGGCGTCCAACTTTTCAGGCCAGTGCGACCACTTTGCCAATGGTCGCTGTGTTACTAAGAAAAACCGCTGCTTTCGCTTTGTATCAAAAAAAAAAATGTCGCATTTGGAATTCACTTTATAATCTCCTTTCAGTATTTTATTAACATCCTAGTCATCACTGTGAAAGCAGGCTGGGTTTTTTTTTTATTTATGAAGGTACATTGAGAAGATGCATTTTTTTTTTTTTAAATATGTTGTGGTTCTTCTTAAAACAAAAAAAATCTATGAGTGTGAGAATATCTAGGGTGACTCAAGCTGCTTCAGACTCGTAGTTATAAACTGTCCCGTGTGGAGGTAGCCCTGCCACTCTTCCTCATCCACCACCATCCCAGAACCCCCCACCCCCCACCCCCTGTTATCGCCTGTTGACCCTCAAGTGGACTTTCTCCCCCCTCCCATTGAAAGGACTTTGTTTGGTTGCCTTTTGCCAGCTACCTCGACTATAAAGTATTCTCAAGTTGTTCAGCTCTCTCACCACTCTGCCACGTTGTTTGGAGTCTGAAGAGATTCACAATTTGTCTGTGATCATCCGCATGCCAGTATGTTTTTTTTGTTTTTTTGTTTTGCTTTGTAGCCTGACAGATGGACTTCAAAACAGAAGATGCAATGAACCCATCCCTGCATCCTCAGTCGGGACAGTTTATTTTACACTACAACCAAACCTATTCTGACAAGCAAAGCCTGATTTTTGCCTTTCTGCAAGGGAGTCTGTGGTTCTCTCTCTCTCTCTCTCTCTCTCTCTCTCTCTCTCTCTCTGTCACTGGCCGTTGTTGCATGTTTTCCCTATAAACCTCTCTCTCTCTCTCCTCTCTCGTCTCTCTCCTCTCTCCATCAGCCTGTTTTTGGTCTTTTTTTTTCAGTCATATAAAAATGGAATTGTATCGCAGACTTATAAATGCAGGGAGTTTTATTGCACAAAAAATGCGGAGCTTGTGGCGCCCCCAGTGTTTTTACGGGGTAACTGCAGGAGACAAGGCTTTGGAATAGTTACTACTACTGAGCAGGACCCTAATACTGTTGGACGATGAAGACTTAAAAAAAAAATCAAACACATGACTGTTGCAGGATGTCACAGAAAAGGAAAAAAAGAGAATTTGGTTCCATAAACTTGCCTGCTGCATTTTGAAAGTCATGGCACCCTAACGTTTGTATCAATGCTGCTTGTATGTTTCTTTTTTTTGTTAATGTTGATGTTTTTTTTTTTTTTTTAAAGCCTACTGCTCAATTGGCCAACAGTTGTATAGAAGCTTCACAGCAGCACTGGTTAACCTCATGAGAAGCTGCTGAGTGTATGTGTATGTGTGTGTGTGTGTGTGTGTGTGTGTGTGTGTGTGTGTGTGTGTGTGTGTGTATGTGTTTTGTTTTAAATTGAAGTGTGTGTGTTTGTCTGTGTGCTTCTCGTGAGGCTCCAAGCCACTGTTTTAAACAGTCATCCAGACTGAGAACTTCCCATTTTTAAACCTGGAACAACCACAAGTAACTGAAGCGATAGATCCATACATCAAGGTATAGATTGATATCAGACAACAAATGAAATATGCATCGCTTGTCTTAAACTTGATGTTTTTTTCTTTTCTTTTTTTTTTTGTTTGAATATTGCACTGATGACTGTTGTTGAAAAGTTGGCTTTTATGTGTCAACATTTAAATTTTTTTCTGAATGGAAAAAAAACAAACACAACAAAATACTATTGTATAAATATATGCTCCAGGTGATAATGTCCTAATGTGTGTGTTACTTTGTGAAAAAAAAACACGATGTTTTTTTTTTTAACAAAGATGCGTGTATCTCTGTGATTGGGTGTATGTATATATACATATGGATATATATATCAACTCTGATGATGATGATGATGATGATATCTTGGGGCACTTTCTTTTCTGAAGTGCTGTCTTCCTGTTTTTTTTGAAAGGGGAATAATACATTTGATGGTAAGATCATTGTAACATGATTAAAAATTGCACGGTTGTGTGGTTGTTTGGCTTACCAGGGTCATAACATTTATGACGTAAGGAGCCAGCCACCGGATTGGTGTACATGAGTGAGATGATTTTTTAATAAAAATAAAAAAAAAGTGCTGACTTCTTTGGACCAAGTTGTGTTTCTGGTCTTGCTTCATTTCAAGCAAGGGGAAACAGCTGATTATTCATGAGTGATGCAGATGTTCCATCATGTTTAATTTTTTGATTTTTTTTTTGTTTTTGTTTGTATTCTTTTATTTTCGAACGTTTGTAACACTGTGATGATGACGTGATGTCATGTGGAGATGAGTGCTGTATTATTTTTGTACGTTTGTGTACAAGCCAGTAAAGAAATCATTAAACTCAAATTCACTGTGTATGCATACATTTCTTCCTCATCTCCCAAGCAAAAGCTACCGGCTCAGCCTCCCCTCCTTCCCCCTCCTCCTGCATTTTTCATAGAAAAGGTTGGTTTGGGAAACATCCCCCCACCACCACCACCAAACTCCTCTCTCTCTCTCTCTCTCTCTCTCTCTCTCTCTCTCTCTCTCTCTCCCTCTCTCTCTCTCTCTCTCTCTCTCTGTGTTTCTCTCACTCCCTCTCTCTATCTCTCTCTCTTCCCTCCCTGTCTTCCAAGCCGGGCCCAACCCAGATCCCCATTCTCTCCTTTTGTCATTCATCTGGCCTCATCCTTTCACTGCTGGGATAAAAGAGCCCAGTGCATTGTGGGTAGGCTCAGTTTAAAGAAGGGTCCCCTCCCCTGTGTGTGTTGTGGGAGAGCCGGTTTTATGTTACCCCCACACACTCAAAAACTTTCCAACACACACTCTTCTCTTGTGCTCTCTTTCTAACTGTTGAGGCTGAAGCTTTGCACCACAATTCAGCTCTCTGCTAACAACCTGCTTCTGCCTCTCACTCTTTGCTTTTGCATACACTCGAGTATGTTTCGCGCTCATCATTTATGCTCTTTTTCTCAAAATCTCCTTGTTTTCTTCATTTTACCCACCCTTTCTCCTAACCTTTATTACTCGTCTCCTAAAAGAAATTCACTGATCTCAATCAGCTGCTCTGGGCTCCACATTAGCAGCCACTTTATTGTACGGGAACAAAACCTATTGCTGCTTGTGATTTTTTTTCATATCTAAGTTTATGTGTTTTCTTGTGAAATATGTACTTTGAAGCCTCCTGGCCTGCTGTTATGGTGCATGAAATGGTCCTGAAAATAGATGGTTAAACTGTTAATCACTCTCACTTCATTTTGACTGGTTGTGAGTCAAAAAGGTTATGAGGGGGAAAAAAAAAAAGACTGGAACACACATTCATTTCCAGCCAAAAGGGTTAAGGAACACTGTTTGTGTACGTGTGAGTGTGTGTGTATTCTGTACTGACTGACTGTAAATGAAAGTTTCCAATCATTTGGTTCATCTCGTCTTCACTTCACTTGTTGCAGTATGAAAACAAGCATAATGAGCCTGGAGCTGGTTATTTGCAATGAAACCTTTGATTTCATGAAAATGCTGAGTTGCAACTGATATTGCATGACAGCCGTGGGAGGATCGTGGGAAAAGCGACACGACAATACATCTTTCTACATGTCAGACCTGGTCATGTTGCAACATTTACTGGGTGTCGACCTGCAGTTAACTGCAAAATGTTTGAGTAAAGAGGGGATTGCAAATGTGATGGGAATAGCCTAACAGTTGTGGTTTTTGAGAGTTTTCATTTCAGTCTGATCTTGAATTTGAATGCCAAGTGAAAATAAGGAGTAGCGGCAGCAGCAGCAGCCTACATCTGGTTTTCACTGACAAGTAAAAGTTCATGCTATTGTTAGAGCAGCTGTTAAACTTGCACTCTGAGCTGCAGCTGAACCATCGATGACCCCAGCTCAAATGTTGTGCACTGACCACATCAAGTGCACTGAGCTAATGTATTTCTTTGTCAGATACAAACTCTAAACCAGGAAAGTTAGCTCCTCTAAACACCAGCCCCTCTGTGTTTTGATACCATGGCAGGCCGAACGGGCTATCTGGCTTGCTGCTCGCTTGTCCTTTCCTCCCTCCCTCTCTCCCTCTCTCCCTCCCTCCCAGTCTCTCACTTCTGCAGGATGTTTTTGTTGAGCTGGGTTCCCATTGTTCACACACTGAGTTGGCAGGCCTCCCAGGGTTGCTGCTGGCTGCTAGGCCCCCTAATAGGTTCTTCATGTGCCTTGGCTTTCCTTGCTCGTCTTGGTCTGGCCTTTGCATGGAGCAGCCTGCTTTAGCGAGCCAGACAACACAAGGCATTTTGGGAGGAATTTTGCAGAGAAGACAGAAAAATCAGATGAAGAACTGTTTGGGGAATTGAATCAAATCCAGAAAAACTTCAGGGAGCAACATCAAAATCACTTTATTAAAAGCGTGAACAGGCCAAACTGGCAAATCTGACTGGTTGCAGTTCTGTGTATGTGTATATATTGTCTGTTTTTGTATTTCACAGATAAATAAGAGTTAAATATTGTTGATGCATCAATCTTACAGCATCTTAAGAGCATCTGTGTGATTATCTTTCATCTCTGTTCAAAAGACCATTGT